TTTAATAGGAAAGAGCATTGTCTGCCTCTGATATAATCAGATGATTTGTTGTTTTTGTTACTGATACGGTCAATTGTGTTTACAGTTTTCCTCTCATTGAATCAGCCCTGCACTCCCGATCTAAATCCCACCTGGCCATTTTGTGGATATTTGTGTTATATTGCTATAATTGTGATATATTGCTATTATCTCCTTGCTAGTATTTTTCTATTTAGCTCTGGTCTTTTCACCAGGACCTCTGGTCTTTTCATGAAGAATGCTTGAAAATCCTCTATTTCATTAAATATTGATTTTTTCTCTGGATGGATTATGCTCAGTTTTGCTAGGTCGGTAATTATTGTTTGTAATTCTAGTTCTTTTGTCTTCCAGAATATTAAAGCCCTCTACTCCTTTGATGGGGTTGCTGCTAAATCCCACATGACCCTGACTGTGACTTCACAATATTTGAAAGCTTCTTTCTGGATTCTGGAAGTATTTCTCTTCGACCTGGGAGCCCTGGAATTTGGTTTCCTGGGAGTTTTCATTTTGGAATCTCATTCAGGAAGTGATCAGTGGATTCTTTCTTTCAATTTCTATTTTACCCTCTGGTTCTAGGATATCAGGGCAGTTTTCCTTATAATTTCTTGAAATATGACATCTAGAACAGAGGTGGGGAACCTGCAGGCTCAAGGCCACATGTGGCCTTCTAGGTACTTGGGTACAGCCTTTAGACTGAGTCCAAGTTTTACAGAACAAAAGCTTTTATTAAGGGGATTTGTCTTTGGAAGTTTAGATTCAGTCAAAGGGCGGCCTATACCCCAGGATCTTTCTTTGATCATGGTTTTCAGGCAGTCCAATAATTCTTAAATTATCTCTCCTTGACCTGTTTTCCAGGTCATTTGTTTTTCTGATGAGATAGTTCACATTTTCTTCTATTTTTTCATTCTTTTGACTTTTGTTTTATTGTTTCTTGATGTCTCATGGAGATATCAGCTTATCCACTTGCCCAACTCTAATTTTTAAGGAATTATTTTTCTTCAGTGAGATTTTGTATCTCTTTCTTTTTGGCCAATTCTGCTTTTTAAGGTGTTATTTTCTTTAGTATTTTTTTGTGATTGTTTTACCAAGCTGTTAATTGTCTTTTCAAAATTTTTTTCCATAATTCTCATTTCTTTACCAATTTTTTCCTCTACCACTCTCATTAGATTTTAAAAATCCTTTCTGAGCTCTTCAAGGAGTTCTTATTGGGCTCGTAACCAATTTATATTTTTCTTTGAGGCTTTGCTTGTAATAAGTTTCAACTTCATTGCTTTCTTCTGAGTTGTGTCTTGATCTTCACTATCATCATAGCTTTTTTATGGTCAGGTCCTTTTTTTGTTGTTTGTTCATTTTCTTACTTATTTCTTGATTTTGAACTTTATATTAAAGTTGGGCTCTGTTCTTGTGTCTGGGAAAGAGGGACACTGTCCCAAGCTTGAGGGCTTTATTTTCAGAGCTAGTTCTGGCGGTTTGGAAGTTTTCAGGGCTTCCAATGTGGTATGATATGGGGTAAGGTGTAGTCACTGCTCCATGAGTCTATGCTCTGGTTCTTACCCAGGAAGGGCCCCTGATCCTTTGAGATTGCAATCATTACTGCTCCTTAGAGTCCCTGCTCCCTTGGAATCAGAAGTGCTACTGCTCCTTGAGGCCTCTGCTCTCTCTTGACCAAAAGTGCTCTGCTCCACCCTTAACCTAAGACCCAGAAGTGGGTCTAGGCCAGGGCTTAAACCTTTTTCCACTCATGACCCTTTAAGCACTTCTTAAACTGTGGGTTGCGACCCCATATGAGGTTGAGCCTAGTCAAACAGCATCCAGTCCTGCATCCATTGCTAGCACAGAAGTCCCCCGTAATCTCTTTCTCACCAGATGCCAGGTCTCCTTACCGTCTTTGGTTTGAGAGCTCCCAAAGCTGCTGCTATTTCTGTTGTCACCACTTAGTCCCACCACTGGTATTCCATCCACAGGGGCTCAATCCCAATGTCACAGATCATTCATTCATACCTCCTAAATTAGTTTGGGCTGGAAGAAGGTCTCACTCTGACCTTGTGGTGGCTCTGCCACTCTAGAATTCAATTTGAGTCATTATTTGAAAGCTTAGAAGGGAATACCGGGAGAGCTCAGCTGAGTGCTTCCTCTACTCCACCATCTTGGCTCTGCCCCTTGAAGTGACCCTGACAGATTTCATATCCAAGGTACTTATTACATGTCAGAAATTCTCTTAAGGCCATAAGTTTCAGGCTATAAATTGCCAATCTGGATTAGCAGAGGGAATTTCCTCATTAAGCATTCCCCATACCAATTAAATCACAAGTATAGAACAGATATAAAGTGAAGCCCAAAGCAGAATCATAAGATACTACAACACTGAAAAATATTTAATGTTCATTATGGAGACATCAAAGTCAAAACTCAATTTTTTTCCAATCAGATATTGTTGAAATCGTTGTAACATAAAAAAGATATGCTAAACCCTAAAACTTCATCCACAGTTATTTACTAAACATTTCTACATATATGTTTAGTGGACTATTTCCAGTATAAAATAAGTTGCCTGTGGCCCACATGCAGCCCACAACATTTTTTAGTGTGGCCTGATCCAGTTTAAAATGCAAGTGAAAAATATGTAACAGAATAAATAAAAATACAACACAAATGAGATAACATTTTAAAACTAAGTCAACATGTAGCCTGCAGGGATCCTTATGTATGGATTAGTGGTCCCCTTTTCTAATGAGGTTTAACCTGTGATCTATATACTGCAGGCAACCACAAAAGTCATGCATAAGTTTTACATTTATTAATATATAATTACTTGTACATACGGACATCATGAGAATCAAAAGAATTTTATAACTACTTAAAATTAAATCATCATCATGAAACTACATAAATTATCCTAGCAATTCATGCTATCAAGTTTATAAATTGGGACAGAAACATAATTATTAATAATTACTAACTACTCTTGATTATTGCAGTGCTAAGTTAGTCTGTGTTCGGTCAATCAACTAATTAATCAACAAACTACTACTTTAGGTCAGGCGCTGTTTTATAGACAACAACAGAACTATTGCTTCCTTCAAGAACCTTGCAGCTAATGGAGAAAACATATATGTGAACACAAAATGTAGAGAGTAAATATGGGGTAATTTTTTTTCTTTTAGAGAAGAAACACTAGCAGTTTGAGAGATCAGAATAAGCTTCATTCGTGCAGGAGGTAATACTTCTTCGGAGCTTTGAAAGGAAATCAAGCTTCTAAGAGGCAGAGGTGATGTGGAAGGATATTCCAGGACAGAGTGACATTCCTCTGCAAGATGGAGGAAATGGGATTTGGAATCTTGTAAGCGAGGAAAAGCAAGGAGGCTAGTTTGGGTGTAGCCTACAGTGCACGGAGAGGAGGAATGTGAAATAAATCTGGAAGGGTAGATTGGAGCCAAATTGCATAAGGCTTTAAATGCTAAACAAAAAGAGGCAGCTAAGTGGCACAGTGGATAGAGCACCAGCCCTGGCCTCAGGAGGACCAGAGTTCAAATCTGACCTCAGACACATAACACTTACTACCTGTGTGACTCTGGGCAAGTCACTTAACCCAAATTGCCTCACCCCCCAAAAAAATGCTAAACAAAGGAGACTATATTTTTATCCTAAAGGCAACAGGGGGCCATGAGTTGGGTTTTGTTTTTTGGGGGTTTTTTTGTTTTACTTTGTTTTTTTAGCTAGGGGAGTGACATGGTGTGGTGGGTATAAGATGAAATGACTGAGAAAACAAAAGTGTCAGCTTCTGAGCACATCAATTTATTAAACAATGCATGCCAACTGCATAACAAATCAGGACCAGGCCTCCTCAGCTTTGGCACTGGACCAGAAATACAGTGGGAAGACATAGTTTTATGTATGAAAAATAAAATGAGACCAATTAATCAAAAGAAAACAATTAATAGAGTACAAATGAGGATATAAAATTAGGTAATCTGATTTCTAATTGGATGAAAAGAGAGGGGGAGAGTAAACAAGAGCAAATCTCTGAACTCAGAGGGAGAGGAAGAGAAAGAAGAAGAAGAGGGAGGGAGGAAGGGAGGAAAAGACAGAGAAAGGGAGGGACAGTTGGATCTTTTTTATTACTGAAAGATAGTAAAGAGCTATTTCCTTCCCCTCTACCCTTCTATCTATAAATACATACATGTGAAGTAAAAATTAGTAGTCCAAGTTCTAGTCCTGGCTGCCAATAACTAGAGAGGTGACCTTGGATATGTCACTTAATCTCTGGATCTCAATCTCTTTAGCATGATAGAAAAAGACTTGGGTTTGGACTTAGAAAAGACCTGAGTTCAAATCCTACCTGGAACACTTACAAGCTAAATGACATGGGGAAAGTATCCTACCAAGCTCATTTTTTTTTTATTTGAAAAATTGGGCATAATAATACCTGTACTACCTGCCTACCTACTTTACAGGATACTTTGGGAGATCAAATGAGACAATGAAATTAAAGTACTTTGTAAATTTTAAAGCCTACAAAGATAGCTATTATTACCCTATGCTACAAGGATATCTAAGAATCAAATTAAATGAACAGAAATGAAACCACAAGAAAAAGAAAGCACAAAAAGCACTAAAAGAAGCACAAAAAGATAAATAGATATGTAAGGTAATAGTATCGTTATTCTACAAAGAGAGTGGCTTGTACAGAGACATAGTGTTCTAGTGGATACAGAGCTGACCTCAACGCCAGGAAGACTTGAATTCAAGTTCTACCTCCAAAATATACTGGCTGTGTTATCTTCTTCAAGTCACTGATCTCCTGAAGACTAAAAGTTGCAAGGGCTAATTTGCACTGGAAGAGAGATTTTCCTTTCCTGGAGTTCCCTATAACAATGAAATCACAGGTGCACAGCCCATCTCTTTCAATGAGTTTGTAACAAATACTCTCAAACACAAAGTCAATCTTCATGAAAACAGGGAAGCAGAAAACGTGTACTTACCATGTTTTCCTCTTGAAATGTCCACATACTGGCAAAGTCTAGGATGGGTGATGGTCTTGAGGATTTGAAAGCGCCCCAAGATTTTGATGGAGTTAGGGGTCAGAGGCAGTCCATTGCTTCCACAAACATCATGTGGCAGAGCAGAAGCAAAGAAGGTAAAGGCACCTATTTCTGCATCCTTCAAAGGAAACATTTTTCTCTTTCGATTTCTTCTGTTCAGTACAAATGCAGGACAGTCCTGTAAAATAAAAGAAATTTGAAATCTCAAAACCATGTATAATATTGTTTTTAAATGTCCCTGGCACAATGCCTAGCACATAGAAGGTGCTTAATAGAAGCTAGCTGATTTGCTGACTTAATTAACATACAACTTAGAGATGGACGTCAAAACTGTACACTTTGTAGATAAAACATAAAAGTTAAACTTCTGAAAAAGTTTTGAAGACTAAAAACAATACTCATCTGTATTCTATCTCAGAACTAAGGCTTCCCTAAGATATTCGAGCAACATAACAATAATAAGGGATGACATTCAATTCAATCCAACAAACACTGACTCATAAGGGCCTATATGTGTAAGGCACTGTGTCTTCGATATCCAGTCTTCATGTAGGCTGAGTTTTGAATAGTGGTGAAGGAATTCAGTGTTCTTGAATCATTAAAGATCTTGTCTTTATCCAAAAGGAGGCAGCTAGATGGTTCAGGGGTTACAGCGCTGGGCCTGGGGTCAAGAGTTCAAATTTGGCCTCATACACTTACTAGCTATGTAATGCTGGACAAGTCACTTAACCTCTGTTTGCCTTAATCCACTGGAGAAGGAAATAGCAAACCACTCCAGTATCTTTGTCAAGAACAATAAACAGTATGGTCCACAGGGTCACAAAGAGTCAGGCATGACGGAACAACTTTATACAAAGAATATACATGCATGATACAAAGACCACCTAAATGTCATCATTCCTTTGGAAAGGAAAGAAAGCAAAAGATAACTTAGGTACTAACCAAGAACATTTCACAAAAATGGCTACAAAATTCAGTAATGAAATTGAGGGTAACATAGTTTTGGAAAGTCAAAGAAATCCAATATTGCTTAATAAAAAATTAGAGCACCAAAACACCTATTAATGTTACCATAAATGAATAAATTCAAATTTAAGCCTTGCTAATACCTTATTTTTATATTTATATTTCAAATTGTAAGACTTACTAAGACATTTTCAAAACCTGGCATGCAAAAGTTAAAGGGAATTTATAAACTTTAATAGAAATCCCCAATGATCATCACTGCCATGTACATCCTAAAATTTTTACAGTAGCTGGTTTATCCTTTTAACATGTAGGTATTTTTATGTGCACTAGCTAGAATGTAATGCTAGGTTATGTTTAAAATCACAATAATGTTTTGGGTTCTCTGGGCAAGTTACTTTTCAAAAAGGATCTTGTTACACCAGTAATAATAACAGCTAGCATTCATACAGTGCTTTAAAGTTTACAGAGCACTTCTCACATGTTCAGTAATTTTCTTAAGCTCATTTTTTTACAAGAAAACTTCCAAAATGTTCATTCTTTATTTTAAGAGTAAACTATTCTCTTCCTTTCTTCCTGAACATTCATTTCCTGATTAATTTAATCATTTTCAAAAATAAGTAGATGCATCTCTTACACAAATTATACTCAAATTATACTGGTGAAAGGAATAAAATTTTAAATGGATAGATGAGTGAATGAATATCCTAAATGATGAATGAATGAATATCCTAAGTGAAGTAGTGTAGTACAATTGGGTGGGGGGGTGTGGCGTGGAGCACTTGATTTGGAATCAGAAGACCTGGGCTTGAATACTAGCTCTGTTACAAGATTTTGAGTTCCAAATTTTTTTCTCCCCCATTTCCTCCCTCCCTTCCCCCCTCCTCAGAAGGCAAGCAATTTGTGATAATTACTATTTACATCACCCTCTATAAGCCAATTAACCTCAATCTGAGCTTTAGTTTCCTCATCTGTAAAATGATATTGGCTGAGATGATCTGTTAAGTTCCTGGGGCACATAATAAATACATGTATGTTGATTAATAGATTTTAACTAGTTAACCAGTAGCTTCTGACCTCCTACAATGGTCCATGAGTCCAGGTTCTTTCAGGTTTGGAGAAAAGGAGTTATGTGACACACCCACAAAATATGAATTACCTAATGGAGACAGCTGAGGAGGTTTACACAGGTTTTCAAGCACCATCAACCACAAAACTTCCCATTCCCAAGACTGCTCCAGGAAGATCAATTTAGGGCTACCTAGCAGGCTTACACAACTGAACAGTCAGTCAATAAGTATTTATTAAGCAGCTACAGTTAATTAATACAGTGTTAGGCACTGCATTAAGTCCTAGGTAGGGATAGAAAGATATAGAGAAAGATAGAAAACAATCCCTACTCTTGAGGAGCTCACAATAATCTATATACAGGATAAACTGAAATAAACAGAAGGAAGGTACCAGAATTAAGAAAAATTGGGAAAAGTTTGCTGTAGAAAGTAGAATTTTAACTGGGACCTGAAGGAAGCCAGGGAATCAGTTAAGTGGAGATGAGGAGGGAAAATGTTCCAGAGAAAATGCTCAAAACCAAGAGATGGAGTGTCTTGTTTGAAAAACAGCCAGGAGGCCAGTGCCACTGAATTAAAGAGTGCATGAGGGAGGGAGGAGGAGGTAAGACGTAAGAAGATGCTGAAAAATCGTACAAAGACGGGAAGGAAAGAACATTGTTATTGGAAGAAATATCTCCTCTCTGAGTTTATGTGATAGGTAACTGTTGCCAAAATATATTTACCATAATGCAGAAATCTTAGAGGTAAAAACCCAATTATTACTAAGCTCAAGCATAGGTTCAGGCCTCAGAGCAACAATTAACCTGAATAATCATTAAGATTCTAACAAGGCTGCTTATAGGCAAAATTAATCTAGTACACTCCTCTTAGAATATAAAAGTTAAGGAAAAGGCAGATTCATAATAGCAGATTTCCTTCAATGTCACGAAAGCTGAAAAAACTTAAAAACAGAGTTAATCCCTTATATTCCCCAAGGAAACAAACTTTGTCAAACTAACTCTTTAGGTAAACTAAGTCAGGTTACAGATTAAACTACATTTAGGAGATTCATGAATAGGCCAAAAAGAAGGAGAAGGGATTTATATGTTTCCAAGGACTTGGGGAATCTTCATCTGGCTTTTTATCTAAGGAATGTTTAAAGCCTCAAGTAAATTTTCACATCTCAAGGGACAGGTTTTGGTCAGGTAAGGTTAATATTAACAAAAGGCAGGCTTACAGTTAACCAAAAGATGCAGGAGAAATGGCCCCTGGAGCCCTGAATAATAACAAATAAAAGGAAATAAAAAATTCCTGTAACAACATGGACCTGCATTTAGATGCAGATTTTAGTCCTAGCTCTCCCAATTAGTAGTTGTGTGACAATGAACAAGCTACTTCATCTTTTTTGAGTCTCAATTTTCTCATCCATAAAATGGCAACAATAATAGTTACACAATATCATTATGGAGAACGCCTTCTGTAAATGCTAAAATGCAATACAATTGTAAGCTATCATCATTTCCTATTGGCACTGCCCAACTCACTATTCCCCATACACAATATTTCATCTTCTCTCTCCATGTCTCTGCATAAGTGAATGTCTGGGAGGCACTTTTTCCAAATCTCCATCACATCAGAATCTTTGCAAAGTTCAACTCTGGTGCCATAATCCTCTCATCCCTTCCCTGTCCCCCAAGCAATTTTTACTCTTACGTTTGAAATCATTTTTGTTTCTTTGAATATACTTGCGCTTATTTACTTGCATAAAAGTTGTATCACTTCTGTAGAAAGTCAGCTCCATAGAGAAGGAACCGTTTCATTTTGTATTTGTACACCTATGCCCTAGAATAGTCCCTCGCACCTGGAGAACAAAGACAGAGAAGAACTGTGCTTTTGTTGGTATGGGGCCAAATTTGGCCCTCAAGTTTTAGTTTCAAGATCCCAATGGATATAGGGGGAATAAGAATTACCCTATCCAAGGGTGGGGAACCTTCAGCCTCAAGGCTACATGTGGCCCTCTAGGGCCTCAAGTGCAGCTCTTTGAATCCAAACTTCACAGAACAAATCCTCATACCAATATAAGTCAGCACCCTCTATACAACTTAGAAAACTGCTTAAGAGAATTGAGAAGCTGACTTGCCCAAGGATATGGTCAGTATGTTTCCAAGATTTGACTTGAACTACTATGAAGGCAGCCACTTCATGACTGATAGAAAAATTTCATTCCTTCAAAATTTCTTTCAACTCAACAAAGTTAAGGGCGTCAAAAGACAAAAAGAAAACAGTCCCTGCCCTGAAAGAGCTCATATTATTGGGGGGAAGGGGAAGGGCACAAAAGACACAAAATGATTGAGAAAATGATTTGAGAAAAAGAGGGCACTAACAATGGGGAAGAGAGGGCATCTGAGGAAGGAATCAGGAAGGTTTCACAAAACAAATAGTACCTGAAAGAAGACTTATTTGTATGTGTATACATACACACAAAGACAAATAATTATAATAAAAATAGAAGTGATATGTTGTATATACATCTAGCTTCTCTCTCTTTTTTCAACCTTACCTAGCTTCTTTCTTTTTTTTCAACCTCAATAGTCAGGAAGAGGTTCTGGTCTTTAGATGAAAGCTTTCTGCTTGGCATCTAAAATGTGGGTGTAAAGGTGAATGTTAAGCTCCCAGAGGGCAGGAGCAGTTTAGATGCTTAATGAATATAGTCTGAACTGAATTTAGACAGCTACAGATTCCTGCCTGATGATTTACAGATTAGGAATCATTTCTCTTAGTTTAACTTTTTTCCACAACTCTTCTCCCACCATGAGGTTCTCACATCCCTTCTCATTTGCATTCCAACATGCAAGGACCTCTTGGGTCTTTGATGATGATGATGATGATGATGATGCTATGACTAGGCTGACACATCTTAAGCTGCTTCATAAGCATATACCAATCTCCCAAAGAAGTTTTAGCAACTGCCAAATGTCAGGTCAGGGAGGAACTCTGGACTGTATCTGTTGGCTTCGGCAGTTCCTAATAATGAATTTATTTGACCCGAACACAAACTCGTCAGAAAGAACCAATCAATCAATAAGTATTTATTAAGGGCCTACTATGTGTCAGGCATTGCGCTAAGTGGTTACAGTGGGATTACACTGTGCCAAGTGTGGTCACCAGTACAAAGACTGAAGCAATTCCTACTCCCCCAAAAGTTTACATACTAATAGGGGAAACAAGCACATAACTTTAGTGACCCAGATTTATTCTCCAGTCCTCTCATTTAATGAAGAAAGCATTCTTAAAGACATACTAATTTCTTTCATCTTTAGGTCTTTTGACAAAATAAAGACAAAGTGGCCACAAAAAAAGTTTGAAAAAAGTGAAGTTCTCCCCAATTTTCTGAAATATTTCAACTGTATTAAAAAGGAATTTAATTGGCCCAGCTGGGGAAAGGAAACATGGAGTTTGAGACGGTGGCTGTCCATTCTTAAGCCTCTTCACTGAGAATAGCAGTTTATATAGAACAAAAGAGAGCAGGGACCAGTATCTTTTGCCCCCACAGAGCCTTGCACATAGTAAGTGCTTAAATGAAGATTATAATAATGAACAATTAAATGAATTCAAAATGAATGCGCCTCTCTCTCTCACTATCACATTTAGTTAAAGAACTTACTCACTAAGCCTCAACATTACCCCCTGCCAACACCAATTAATTTCCCTAGGCATTGCACTTTTAGGAGCATCTCCCAGTTCCTCTTTTTGCCTCCTTAGTCACATCCAACCAGCTGTCAAAGCACATTACTTCTTACTTCATGAAATATCCCAGATCTATCTATGTTTCCTTTCCCAACAGTGACTCAGTTATGGCTTTGGAGACTGTCTCTGTCTCTCTCTCTCACACACACAGTTGGTCAAAGTATATGAGAAAATGAGTAGAAAGGTAAAAGATGGCCATTAGAAGCAGGGAATGGTGCCATTTCATGCAAACTTCGTGAAAGGTAATGGTTCTAAATCAGCTGTGAGAGATCCTTTGGTATAATGGAAGAAATGCTGGGTTTTGAGTCACTTAGTTTGGTTCAAAGACTGGCTCTGCTATTTAACTAGCTTTGTGACTTTGGGAAAAGTATTGAACCAAATTCAGTCAGTTTCCTCATTTGTAAAATGAATGATTTGGTCATAAAATTCAGAGCTGGAAGGGCCATTGAATCCAGCCCCTTTATTTTACAGAAGAGGGAACTGAGGCACAGAGAAGGTTAAGTGACTTGCCCAGGGTGTCACAGAACTAATAAATACCCGAGGTGGGAAAGGAACCCAGATCTTCTGGACTCCAACATTCTAACCATTAAACCCCACTGCCATTAAAATGCCTGAATCCCTTGCCTCAACCACAAATCTATAATCTCACATGCAACCATCAATGATTCAAGCCAGGAAAAACACAGCCTTCCATGAAAATGAAGTACAGGGTCTTTTACATGATTTGACTAGAGAAATATGCTGGTGAAAGGTACCTGTCCTTAAATATCCCTCTCCCATCTAGGTACTTCAGAGTCTAAAATTCATGTTTTTAGGTTAGGCATTGCCCTTTACCTTTAGTCCTCTTTTAAAAACAAAATATTCTACACTGAAGATAAAACATTAAGGTTAAATAGGTCCCATGGTCAAATTACATTCCTAGCAGAAAAATTTTCACTACTTGACAGTTTTGCATAGGACCACAATTGTGCTTATGTATTAATACCCCTCCCCCAAGAGCATAGTATAGACCTCCAAAAAGAAAAACAGGTAAGTAGGCATAAAGATGTTAGAGTGGCCACTTAATTCCAACAAGAAGGGAGCATAAGTTCAAGAAAAATGTTAAAAAGTAGATATTTCAGGGGAATGTGAAATAAACCTGGAAGGGTAGATTGGAGCCAAATTGCATAAGGCTTTAAATGCTAAACAAAAAGGGGCAGCTAGGTGGCACAGTGAATAGAGCACCAGTCCTAGACTCAGGAGAACCTGAATTTAAATCCCGCCTCAGACACATAACACTTACTAGCTGTGTGACTCTGGCTAAGTCACTTAACCCCAATTGCCTCACATAAAACAAAACACTTTAAAAAAAAGTAGGTATTTGAGATTATGAATGTGTAAAACAGAATGTTAAGCTGACAGGTGACCATGGAGATAGGCTAGTTTTACTTTAATAAAGGAAACAAACCAGGTGGTGTTGAATGCACCTCATCAACATCCCTAGCCTTTCTCTCTACTCACACAACACACTGGTCCTCCTTCAGGAGCTCATCAATTCTCATCTAGACCAGCACCTCTTAATCTGTGGGTCACAACCCCAAATGGGGTCGGGAAAAATTCAGCAACAGTAAAAGGTTTCCGAACACACAAGGACCAAAAATTAATTAAAAATCAAACGCATAATGAATTTGAGGCTTTTCTGGAAGTGCTTGCCAGTCTAGCACACCACAACTTCCCTGAGGCTTTGGTTTAGAAAACAAAGCATGCACGTTGCACTGTGAATACCCTCAGGACACACAACTCCATGCAAATCGAAAAGGAGGTAGCCTGGACAGTAATAGTTTTCTGAATGGCCCCCTAACTCCAGATTTAGCTCTCTCCAAAGCATCCTCCACACAGCTGCCAACTTGATATTTTAAAAGTTGAGATCAAATAACCATGTCACTCTACCCTGCTCAAGAAACTTCCATGGCTCCCCACTGCCTCCAGAATAAAATGCAAACTGTCTTGCTCAGTTTCACAATCTGGCTCGAGCCTACCTTCTGAGGCTGATTACACAGTACTCTCCTACACACAATCCTATCTCCTGCCTTTGCATCCTCCATGCCTGGAATGCGCGCTGGCACGCGCGCACACACGCACACACACACTCTCTCTCCCTCTCCCCCTCTCCTTTTTCTCTCTTCTTCTCTATCCGTTTCTATCTCTCCTTCCCCCTCTTCCCTTCCCTTCCTTCCCTATATTCTATCTTGTTCTTCCGTCTATCCCTGTTTCTGTCTCTTCTTCTCTCCTTATCTCTGTCTCTGACCTCCTCCCTGTGTCTCTCACCCCCCTCCTCTTCCCTACCCCATGAAGGTACATTTGCTTTCCTATGCATCCAGTATTTACTGTTATGTGCGAACATGTTGTAACAGCAGAATGAAAACTCCTTGAGGGCAGAGAAATGCCTTTTCATTTTCTAGTGCCGACCATAGTACCTGACACATAGTAGATCCTTAAAAAATGCTTGTTGATCGAGCTTTCTCCAATGAAAATAAGCCTTGAAACTTGCATTTCATTAATTTTACTGGGCCTTTCTCTAAAAATCTGTCTTGACACCATACTCCCCTAAACATCACCAAGCTCTGTAAAGTTACCCCTTGGCAGATCTCATTGAAAGCGGCATACCTCCACTTTCTGCACAAATAAGCACCGTACCCCCGCGCCAAACCAGAGAGGAGAGCCGATTGCACCCTGACACCAAGTCTGAACCCAAAGAAAGCATTTCTTCACATCCTCGATGTGTAACAGAGGAAATACGCTCCTTGACAAAGGGCTCATTTAGGGGGTGCCAGGGGTCGTTCTGCTCCAGTGGGTTTTGTAGAAGTGCAGAGAGATCAGGTAAGGGTGTGCTTTACCTGCCCCGTCGCTGGGGAGAGTGATACAATGGAAAGGGTTCTCTAAGTGTTGGAACTGGGTTCCAGTTCTGCCTGAGCGACCTTGGATCAATGACTTAACCTCCTCGGGACTCAGTTTCCTCACCTGTACAAGGAGGGGGGCTGGACTGAGTGGCTTCTGGGGTCTGCTCCAGCTGGACAGGTAGGATTCCAGCAATGGATCACTCAGGGAAGGGGCGGGTGAGGGGGAGGAGGAGTGACCTCATCCTGGAAGGATGGGGGAGGGTCAGCCCTTGACCTCTGACCTCTCCCACCAGGGTGACACAAGGGCGAGACGCAAAGAAAGGGAAGAGCTCGGAGTACCTGCCGCGGGTCAGGGGCTGCAGGCAGGTAGCCAAGCAGGCTGGGGGGGGAGGGCGCAGCGGCTCCGGGTCGGTCGCAGGCGCGGGCCTCTGGCCTCCAAGTCCGAGTCTGGCGCGAACCGCCCCCACCCCCTTCCCCGGAGGCTCCGGGCCCACGTGCCAGATTCCGAACCGGTCGGGAACGCGAGCGCGTGCCCGACTGCTACCCGCTCCCCCTCCCTCCTCCTCTCTGACAGCTCAGCCGCACCGGCCCTCACGGCGTTCCTTTTCCTCTGACGTCACCGGCCGCACGACTCACTCCCATTGAAAGACCTCTCCTCGAGCTGTCCATCCCAGAGCCTGAGCGGTGGGCAGCCAAACTGTGAGGCGTAAAGTGGGGGCCGCTGTGTCGAGTTTTGGAAAGGGTTCAGGGAGCTAGGGCGACAGACACGCATAGAGACAGAGAGAAGGACAAAAGGGGTGTGGGTTCTAAATTCGGAAGGGTCCCGCAGGCGGTTGGCTTATACAGCCCCTGTTGGGGTCTTTTCTCTTCGGCCGTCGCGTGGTTCGCTCCCTCACTCGGTTCTTCTGCCGGCGGCTGCGGCGACGTCGGCGGCCGGGGCTGCTCCGCCTCGCCTGGTTCATGTGAGTAGAAGTCTGAGGCCTGCCTAGCATACTAAGGGAGGTCGCTGCCTTCCCCAGGGCGGAACGGACCAGGCGAGCCTGGCTCGGGGCCTTCTGGGGACCCCGCGTGGGCGGGAGGCTAGGGGCCAGCCGCGAGTGCGAAGAGTCTGGGGGGCCGAAAGAAGTTGAGGCGTCGCGGCCTCCGTCCAAGTAGAGGGCAGGCGCCGGGTGCATCTCCCACGCGGGTTGTTCCCCAAAAACTGGGGCCAGGTGGGGTGCCCAGCGAGAAGGAGGGACATTTAAAGAAGGGGTGCCTTCACCTCTGTCTCTAAGCCTTGAGCTTTGTGGCCCCAGCGACCCCCCGCAGTGTGCCTAGCATATTGTCTTTTAAATTGTTTTCCATCAACAATCATTTTTTTCTCTCCCCTTCCCTTCCATCCCCCACCCCCGCTGAGAAAGCAAAAAAAGAAAAAACAAAACCCTTACACCAAATGTGCATATTCAAGCAGAACTAACTCTCACGTTGGCCGTGTCTAAAAATTATGACTTATTCTGTGTCTTGAGTCCACCTCTTTAGTCCGGACATAATTGTAGCGTGTTTCACATCATCCTGGTTAGTCATTGCATTAACCCGAGTTCTTTAGTCTTTCAAAGTTGTTTTTACGATGTAGATATTATTGTATTCGTTGTTCTGGTTCTGCTCACCCTCTACATCAGTTTCCCAAGTTTTTCTAAAGTAGTCGTTTTCATCATTTCTTAAAGTTGTCAGAGTAGTTCATTTTTACCGAGTTGGATATTTAGGTAAGATTTAGGAACTGGGGGAAAAGGGTATTTGTACACTTAGGTGTTGATAAGTGGTGTTTTTATTTTTGTTATTGGTTTCCAACCCCCCACCCCTTGTGTGTCTGTCATTTAGCACAATACTTGGCACATATGTGTGACACTTAATTCTTGTTGATTTTCAGGCAACAGGTGGCCCTGCTAGACTTGCGCCAACTTTCCTTTGATCTACTAGGAAAATACCTATGGTATACTAATTTTCCTTGCTGTGTACAAAGTATTGCAAGGCTATGATTCTTTATGCTGATCTATATTTGAAGTTATAAAATGAAAGCAACATGAGAGGTTTAATTTTCTACTTGGAAAAGAAATGACTTTCAGCCTCCTACTGAAAATGGCATTTCAGAATGTAGGAGTTTGTAGTTTCATGACATAGACAGTTGCCGCTTGTAACACTACTCTATATGTATTACCTTTCCTGCCAGTACTACTGACACTTTACCCAAATATCATTAATCTTTATGTCCCAATGATTTTTTATGTTAATTTTTTTTGAAACCTAAAACGAATTTTCTTACCGCAGAAATTCTCAACTTGTTTAGTGCCCAGGGAAAACAAGGTAGGAACTGCAACACAATGATGTCCTGTTTGTGGCAGTAAATTAGTTAAGAGCAGCAAACTTTTCCAAGGGAATGGGAGGAAAAAAGTTTGAGGGTGAGAAGGAAGATTGGGGGTAAAAAGGGGAAAGTTGAGGGGGGAGAATGAGCAAAGATTAAAATCTAGTGTCCAAAAAAAAAAATGGCATCTAATGTACAGTTCTGTGCTAGTAAAATTAGGATAGATACTGGACCTGTGATTTCACTTTGGGGGGGAATAAAGGTCTGTACCTTCTCTGAAACTTAGTCTTAGATAATTGCTGAGAGCATGTAAAAGTCTTAGAAAGTTACCCAAAGGTTAAGTGACTTCCCCAGAGTCTGTCAGAGAAAAGTTGAACCCAAGTCTTCCTAACTCCAAGGTGGTTCTAACCACAATGACAAACTGCCAGCAAAATTAGATGAATAAAAAAGAATACTTCAGTTGTGTTACAGCCCAGTGTTGGTCCTGAAAAGGGGGAGTGTGTGGAAGGGAGTGACTTGGGACTGGAAATCAGTGCTCCAGACCAAATGTCATTCTTTTATTGTAATAAGTAAATAGTGATGGGGTCACATTTGTATTTAGAAGACAATGGGGAGGTTGTATTTGTCTTTTTAAAAGTTTTTGGATCAGGGTAAAAATCACTTGGCAATTAAGTGGTGCAGTGGATAGAATGCCAGGCCTGGAATTCAAGAAGACCTGAGTTCAAATCCAGCCTCAGATGCTTACTAGCTGTGTGACCCTAGACAAGTTACTTAACTTTGTTTGCCTCCCTTTCCTCATTTGTAAATGACCTGGAGAAGGAAATTGCCAAGAAAACCCCAAAGGGTTATGAAGAGTCAAACACTTTTAGTCAAAAATGACCAAACCACAAAAATCAATTAGCTGAGAGATTGCTAGATGATGGGGGAGCCACTTAGTAATGAATAACAGCACTTACTGGTTATCAAATATTAAGTACCTAGTACATGCTAGATCCTAACTTATTCCTCTGGGAATATAAGTAGAAGAAAATCAAGCATTGCTTATACTATATAAATGTATGCTATTTAACTTATTTCATAGACTGCTTCAAAAAGAGGAGAATATTTCAATTTTTTAAAGTTGAAAAAAAATTATTCTGAACCTATAATATCAGTGTGGGAAACTCTTAGTCTGGAAACCCCTTTCACTAATGAAGATCAGTAACTAGTCTGTAACTTAGCATGTTGCAGTTACCTGGGGCACTGACAGGTTAAATGACCATGTCTTCCTCTCCAAAGCCAGCTCTCTAATTACAATACAATGCTGAATTTAATCAGTCAGTGAGTTAACGAATATTTATTAAGTCTACTAATGTTCCAGGCACGAGGCAAATTCACTAAAGTTTGTTAACCACCTGTTTTTTGTGCTAGGCACAGTCCCTACCCTCTGGGTGGGTGAAGGAAAAGGAATACATTTAAATGAATACAAAAAAATTTCATGAAGGAAAGAGTGCTAATGGAAATAGTAGATATAAAGGGAAACTTCATCTAGTTGTTAACCATTTGAGGCTAAGGTCAGGTGGAAGGGCACTTCAAACCACAGGAGCCACTTGGGCAAAAACAATAATGAGACAAAGACAGAATCAAGTTGTATATGGGTGACAGCTAGTAAGTCAGTTTGAATGAGTGAATGAATGAAAAAGCATGTATTTAAAGTGCCTTTTCTGAATCAGAGTGAGTAAAAAAGAAGTAATATGAAATTAGACTGGAAAAATCTGTTAGAGCTAGATTGTGAAGGCCTTAAATACCAAACAAAGGAGTGTATTTTATCCTGGAGGCAAGTTGGGAGCCATTCAAGCTTTTTGAACATGGGAGTCAAGGGAGAGACCAGTTATAGGAATAACACAGCAAAAGGTGATGAAGGCCAGAGCTTTGGTGATCAGTCAATAAGCACTTGATAAGTATTGGGGCTAAAAAAAAAAAAAGGAAAAAGTTAAGCCCTGACCTTTGGAGCACAAAATCTAATGGGGAGACAATGTGCAAACAACTCTGTACAAAAAAACTACCTGCAGGATAAATAGGAAATAATAAATAGAGGGAGTGCACTATGCCACTTCACTTGGTGATCTCATCGGCTTCCATGAATTTAATAACCATCTCTGTGCTAATAACTTTCAAATCTACCTATCCTGTTCTAACTTCTCTGCTATCCTCCAGTTTCTCATCTTCAACTGCCTTTCAGACATCTTAAACTGGACGTCACTTAGACTTGTTAAACTTGACATGTCCAAAGCTGAGCTTGTTATCTTTCCTCCTAAATCTTTCCCAAACCCCTAACCTCCCCATTACTGTCTAGGGCAGGCCTGCACAACTTCAGGCCCCGTTGGCTACTCACACGCTCCAAAGGATTTCCTTTTTTTGAGGCCACTTGAAATCTTTTGGTGTACTGCAAGTTGCCCTCCTGTAAGTTGTGCAGGCCATATTCAGGATCCTCTCAGTCCATCAGGCTTTCAACCTAAGTGTGATCCTCCATTCCTGTAGGAAAGGCTTCCTGTAGAAGGTGGGATTTCAGCTAGGACTTGAAGGAAGCTATAACGCAGAGATAAGGAGGAAGAACATTTCAGGCATGAGATACAGCCAGTGAAAATGCCTGGAGCTGAGAGATGAAAGCATTTTGTGAGTGGAGAGCACTCATTGGTTATGAAGCATAAAGGAGAGGAAAGAAAAGAAGACTAATTCATTAAAAAAAGGAGAGAAAAGACTAGTTCATATTCAATTCTAACTTATTTATTAGTTTATATGTCTTATATTTTTTATAGTTGTCAAGTGGTTGTAGCAGTTGTTGAGGAGAGATACCCGTAACAGAAACTGAGAGGTTAGGAAGAGAAACGAGTTTATGGAGAACAGTACTAATGTATTTTAGACGTGTTGTGTTTGAGATGCTTAAAGGGCATAGAGTTGATGTCTAATAGACAGCTGGTGATGCAGGACTGGAACCTAGGGAATCGGGGGCAATCTATGTAGTTTGAGGATTTGGATCCATGGGAACTAATAACTTTGCCAAGAGGAAAGATAGAGGCCTCAGAGTCGAACCTCTGAGATATTTGCTCCCATGCATAGTGGAGGAGTTGGTAGAGATGGAGGTGGGATATGCAGGATGGTAAGGAGGAATAGTCCAAAAAATCGTAAGAGAAGTATTGGGGAGAAACGAAAAGGGGGAGAGGTCCACAGTGTCAAAAACTGAGAAAAGATAAAAGGCCCTCTCCATCCAGCCTAGGACCCTAAGCCCAAGAGCTCTGGAATTAGCAGTCCACCACAGAACACCCTGCTTCTATCCCAGCCTCCTCAGCAATCATCTCCAGAATCAACCCTTATGGACTTGAAGCCCAACAACTACTTCAGCAGGTCCTACAGCCCTGGCACCATCAAATGCTTCAACATCAGAAATGGACGTGGTTGTTTTGTTTGTTTTTAATCAGTGGAAATAATGTTTGAGAAGGTACATTATCATTTGCTTTGCTACTGTCCTCTAAGGACATGGGATCTTTCCATCTGACTTGTACCCGAAACCTCAAATATATCTCCTCCCTTCGGATATGGGGTCCTTGAGTGCATGAATTGTCTCTGATTTTCTCTTTCTGTTCC